ACTGTGGAGGGTTGGGGCGAGGGAAAATTTGCCGAGGGAGTAGGTGAGCCCCATTCCTCTATCGGTTTAGCATTCAATTACAATCCAAGATGGCGGCATCGGGAACCTGGTTTATCGAGCGTTCCGTTCCAAAATAACGCCTGTTCTGCAGGCTACCTTCTCATCCGCGACCAAACTTTCTTCCCCAGGTGAAGTTTCCTTTTTGACTTACGTGTGTCTTTTTCTTCTTTTTTTTTCATCAACAGATTTACTGAGATGAAGTGAGAATAACGCACGTGGTTTCAGTAGTTTCTTTTGTTTTTTTTTTCTTTGAATGCATCACAAGCAGAGGTTTAAGAGTTTGAATGAAGTGAGAATTTCGTGATCATGATGTTATTTTGGGGATGGAGATAATTTTTTCGTTAATGCAAGTCACTGTTGGAGTTTTGTACCGAATAATCAATAACTATGTAGTCGCTAACTGCCACGTCAGTTGTAATCTGTCAATCAACAGAAACCTGTAAAACTTGTACATAACAGGATTGACTAGTCAGCCGACAATACGTATTTAAACCAGTTAGGAACCGTTCGTACCCACAGAGATCAGTCAATGGAGTTTTAAAGTAAACGCTTTTGTATGACATTTTTACTCTTGTAGGCTTGATGAAATAATAAAAACATGTTTTGGCTATTTTTAACTGCTCTCGGCTGAGACCATTAACTGTCTGCCACTGTCATGCGCGTGACTTGGAAGTTTGGTGCCCCATCCACACTACGCCGAAAGAATTTGAAAACGCTGTTTTCCGTCCACACTACGCCGGAGGAATTTGAAAACGCTGTTTTCCGTCCACACTACCCCGGAGGAATTTGAAAACGCTGATTTCCGTCCACACTACCCCGGAGGAATTTGAAAACGCTGTTTTCCGTCCACACTACGCCGGAGGAATTTGAAAACGCTGATTTCCGTCCACACTACCCCGGAGGAATTTGAAAACGCAATAATCGCCGGCCATTTTGGATTTGTGTTTGAGGAACACTCGGTCAGGGAAACATCATGATCATCGTGACGTCATCGTTTTCGAAAAGCCTCGTTTTCAAAATGTTTTCTGTTCACAATAAAACGTAAAACCGGCTTGTTCGAATTTCTTCGGTTTGTAGAGCGTTTTCGAAAAGCTACGTTTTCGTGACGGATTAGTGTAGACGGAACCCCGGAGGACGGAAGGCCTGATCGGAGAAATAAAGCTCCTACGGTGTACTGTGGACGGGGGCTAACACCAATATGAAGAATACTCATTGAATTGTTCACAAAAAGTAGCTTGTGAGATAAATCAGAAAACCTTGTTGCAGCGTTGCCGCGATCAAACGATCAACTCCACTTCTCTTCGCGCTTTCAATGCTACAAGGAAAACTTGGCGAGACGTTCAGTCCGCGGCGTGTTACAATAGGCAGTTCAAGTGTATCTTTCGTCTAAGAAAAAATTGCTTTGTGTTAACGCAACTTTTATTTCCAAACGCGCGCACACATTCCTGTACTTGTTATTTTTGTGGGATGCATCTTCGTTTGGATGATGAGAAAGTGTAGGTATACGGAGATAAAGCGCGACAGAAGATCGGAAATATTGACTTCAGGTTTGAGTGATCTTTGGGGACAGTTAATTCTCTAGTGGTTACATTAGGAATTCAGTACCTAATAATGAACAATCTAGAGCCTGCTGGTCTGGTGCAGTCCTCACACCCTCCAGTCGTGATATTTTGCTACCTCAGTCGAGCTGATAGAACACTGTTACACTATTCTTCGACGAAGAACGCGATATTTATAGAGTCGGCCGGTAGCAAAACCCAGGCAAAAACCATAGTTAATAGAAGGGACTGGTTATGAAGCCCGCCAAACATCAAAGGAGCAAACAAAGATGTCAAGATTTATGTTGGAAGGTCCACGACCGTGCACATGTTTTTGTTTTGCGCTCATACACTATGCATGAATTACGTAACCAAAACGTTTCTATTGGTTTGTTCCTCAGTACGGAGTAAACAACTATTGTGTTTTGTGCACGGTCAAGGCCAAAAACCCGAACAAAAACATACAACAAAGATCTCCCCATTCCCCTCTATTAACTGTGAAAGAAACCCATCATCATTCACCCAAGAGCCATTTCCAGTCACGTGTCATTTGGAATCACCAGTCATGTAATCACGTGATTGCGGACGATGCTGCCAGCTTAAGTTCAAGAAACATGTGAATAATCCTAATCAGTGTAATACGAACAAAACTGAATACAAGCAGTCAAGTTCTCTTCACGCTAGCTGTGTCTGCATGTTGTTCTTTAAAATACACTGTAACCAAGTACGGCACGTTCATGATATGATGACTGGGTTATGTTACCCCAGTTTATGGTATTTACCTCATTAGCATACCGCGCATCTAACATGCGACCAGGCGAGTTTATAAACGGACTGAATTTGCTTCTTGTCTTTTACCGCTGGCTCAAGAAACTACACTCGTCACCTCAGAAGCTACGTGTATCAACTCTGAATAATGAAATTTGAAATTTGAAAAAATTGAGCTAATTGAAAAGAAATTTAAGCCCGATGTATTTTAATACTCTTTGTGCTACGCACGGATTTAAAACTCAAACAAAAAAGTTTAGGATAATTAAAGGGTGTTACATCCAGCAATTTTGCCGTTTTTGAAATCTGATAATCCGTTCAATACTACACGCAAGGAGGTAAAAAATCCAGTCAACACGAAGTTCAAAAAGCCCTTTTACCCGTTACTGTTTCTGACGCATTTTTTTCCTTTTGAAAAAAAAAAAAAAAAGATTTGCCAATGGGCCACATTCGTATTCTCGGTATTGGACTGGAACTAGCATGTAATGGAGGCTGATGCGGGGAATATCATGAAAAAGAAATGAAAGTCATTTGCATGTGAGAAGACTCCGCGCTTTAGCCTCGGTTCCAAGCTAGTTCCAGTCCAATATCGAGAATACGAAAATGGTCTTTAAGGCTCGTATAATCTCAGGGAAAGATTAAAAACTCTCGATACTATCACTTTCTCCGATAACTCATTTATTGTAATTTTCTTGTACAAAATTAGAAGATCTATCGTATCTTTACTTACATATTCCTATAAGTTAACATTCATTGTTAGCCATTTGTTAGACTAATAAAAACTGTAAAGTTTCTTAGTCGCCTTTTCGTTATGTGGCAGATTCCTTCTCATCGTAAAAACTACAAATACTGTTTGTCATCTAGCAAATACTCAGAGTAAAAACAAACATGATTGAGAGAATGCTAATCTAAAAACATTCATTCAGACTTGAACTTTTTCCGTTTTGTGGAGGAGCGATCCAACCCCAAACAAATCACAATTACAATCCATTCTCGGATTTTCTTTGGCAAGGGGCTGATACTGTTACCGCAAATATCTGCTGAACGTGGCATCCCTTACTTAATAGCACTCCTCGGGAGGTTAAATATTGAACACAGCTTGTTAAATAAGTTGACATAAGCTTATCTTTAAATAACAACTTGCTTTTATGTAAGAGCATTAAGAGGAATGAAATATTTGTTGATCGCTGAAACCTTAGAATCAAAGATACAAATTATTATCGCTGCTCAGTAAACATTTGTCACACGTAAGACTTAATTTTCCTGTTGACCAGTTCTATCATTTCATGACCCGCATGCGAGACTTGCTATTAAAAATTTGAGATATTAACTGTCGATTATTAGAACTACGTACACAGATTTTCCAGGAAAGATTGCGTGACAAGTTCAAAGACCCTCTCCGGAGACGGTTACTACTAATTGCGTCGTTACGCAAGTGTTTTTTCAAGATTCTTAAAGGTTGTGAAGGAGATACTGTTAATTATTGCTTTGACTAATAGTGATACTAACTAACTAACGTAATTGGTGCACTTCTGTCGCCCCATTCCCCTGAATCTTCTGTTCCATCTCGAACATAAGGAGAGCGAGCTGGGAACGAGACGCCATTCCTTCTGCTTTGATTGTGAGGCATTCGTTGTACTCATCTTCCTTCAGATGCGGATCACACGTGACGTTTTGAAATCGTTTTCTTAAGTCAATGTCCACAGCTTGGAAAACATGCAAGGGACTCGCGGAAAATACCTGCAAAAGAAAAGGGAAATTGCTTGATATGATACCAGATTATCTGCGATCAAGATTTGTTTATCACGACAATGCGACTAGTATGCGGGGAGACGCGGGTTCGAATCCTGCTCGGGACACGAATTTTTCTTTTATTTCAGAGACTTGTGTCGAAAGCCGCCTGTAAGTAATTTACATCTTTCTATCATCGTTTATAAGGCTTTCCTGGCCCAAATAGTTTCTATTCTACTTGATTTCTATACCCAGAAATAAACTGCGTGAAAAAGCATATCCTTTACAGCGGCACATACCCACATAGCTTACATATGGGAGTACCCACCCTAGTCTCCCACGCAGACGCTCTTAGGGCTCGTCACGCGTTCCTCCCCACGAACGTGGGAAAGAACGCGTGACGATCCCTAAGAGCGTTAGCCTGCAGTGCGGGCGTCTTATTGGGGCGAGTTAGCGTTACAACCTTGCGACCGCCTTTTTAGACCGCCATGTTAGACCGCCATGTTAGACGGTGGGGGATGGGGGAGGGGAAAAATGAGAAGACTAACTAAGACTAGATTTTCTTCGCTCCACCCCTCCCCTGTCATTCACCCCCTTGGTAAAACTTTCTTTCTTTCCCCAGTCTTCCACTGCATGAAAAATTCAAGATGGCGGCTAAACTTTTTACGATGTGAGCGCTCGCTCGAAAAAATCTCGCCTGCTCTGCAGGCTATAAGAGCGTCTGCGAGGGGGGCTATACCACAATAAATCAACTCTCATCTTTACCTCCATTAAATCCAGTGCTGGTGTTTTGTGCTCTTTTAAGAAGTCGTCATTACTCATTCTCAGGTCTTTATAGTCCTTGTTATCAAAGCAGGCCATGTCTCTTGGTCCTTGGGCCCAGCGTCCCGTGTCCCTGTGCACTGGAATCACATCCGGGACCGGCCTTTGACGATACACAATACTGGGATCGTAGTATGCGAAGGGAATGGGAAAGAACACCTAAATGAAGAGAACAAAACGCATTAACGCACTGGGGAGCAGGGATGGCGCAGTGGTGAGAGCGCTCGTCTCCCACTAACCTGGCCCGGGTTGGATTCCGTCCCGGTGTCATATGTGGGTTGAGTTTGTTGTTGGTTCTCGCCTTGCTCCGAGGGTTTTTCTCTGGGTTCCCCCGTTTTCCCTCTCCACAAAAAACAAAACAACTCCAAATTCGAATTCGACCTAGCCTGTGTTGCGAGCGTTCCCGTACGAGCCGCACAAAATTGGGCCGCGGAAAGAGCTGCTTCCAAAGAGCTTTTTCGACCTGCTAAGGCTAACGTGGCTCTTTTCCCATCATTACATGTAAGGTTCGGGGTGAAGGTTATGAGTTTCCATTGTTGAATCCTTTTATTTAAGTATCTTTTCGAGACGAACTGATCAATGTAGTAAAACTTTTACAGTAACTTCAAACTCAAGACTTTCGAAAAAGATGCCTTGGGGCGACCTGGGGAGTCTGACACTTGTTTAGCTCAGAAACTTGCTACATTTTCAGAGAATTCCTGAAGGCTCAAGGTCGTAGAGCTTTGAACGAAAAAGTACAAATTTCGTGCAAATAAATTGAATTCAGGTGCTTTAGTAACGTTTTCGCAACAGGAGGGCAAAATTATGTGATCTGAACTTGTTTGTAAGAAAAACCTTTCCAGTAGATGGTTAAACCAGCCGGACAAAAATCGTCCTCACAACTGGTCAATTTGCCTAGTGCCCTGCCCTTAATGAAACTCCTACAAATTATTAGCTTGCTTGCACGTCCTCTTGGGAGATCTTAGCGAGCTTGCTTGCTAGGCCTCCAGGCTTACAGCCAGGCCTCTGGGTAGTTTCCAGTTCCTACAGTTCAAATTCGCGGAAACTCCGCGACAGCAGGGACTTACTTCCACGCTACCAGTTTACTCACCTGCTCACCACTGAGAGCGTTAACACGACACCGGTTTAAAAAGTTGACGTTGAACTCGACTCTAAGAGCCGTGAGGAAGATAAGAGCATTGGCAGGCAGCTTCATGGTAACTATGTCCATTAGCAGCGTCACAGAATTGTACCTCACTCCAATCTGTATCCATGGCAACTGAGCCCACGTGTACTTCTGTTTGTACCTGGATATCAGGACATGGATTAATGGGAAGTGGGTCTAACAGATCACTACAGGGGTGAGGTAAGTCTTCGCAACTGCCGGTGCTGAATACTGGTTCATGTAGAGCGAACACACTAGGAGAGTTCCTAGCTCCGCCCATCCACTCCTGGGTAGCCTGTTCCAGGCTCTCGGTAGTTAGGTCCTCCCTCGTTTTTTTCTCTCGCTCGCCCTCTTTTTTTCGCTCGGCCCTAACTACTGAGAGCCTGGAACGGCCACCTCTCCACAACGGTAACGGCCACTAAAGCGCATCCTAACTGCCAAAATAACCTCTTGCAACGGCCAGTTAATAAACGACTGACGAATGGTGTCTACGAAACTTGATCCGTACCACCCGCCGTTGGCCCCTGTTTGTTTTATTGATACCTTTTCAATGTGTTACGGATGTATACGCTACAACAAGCATTTTTTTAAAACAAATTTGTTGCACCTCCGAAAAAAAACATTAGTCATATTACAAGCCCACCTCCCCATAACAACCACCTCTCTACAACAGTCACTTTCCATTGTTCTCAAGATGGCCGTTGATGAGAGGTTTAACTGTATATCACTACTTACCGTGCAATAAGGGCCTTCCCACCCGCAAATGGGTCTTCTCCGGTTTTCTTAATGGTTCCATCTCTAACGTTCACAAAGACAGTAAGTAACACGACGTTCTCACCAGTCTGTAGACAAACTTTCTGATACATCTGCAGAAATTCATCCAGTTTGTCCGTGTCTCCCCTTGTGACCGGAAGAACAAGATGTATTCCACGCTGCTCAATGGCAGTTGGCATCTGGATGCTTTCCACCCTGGTGTACGGTCTCAGAAGATGAACGCGTCTGAAGGAAAATATTTAAAGGAGCTCAGTTCCTGATATATTGCGTATTCCTGTTTCATTAGTCTCTATTAATCTTTACTGATATTTTGATGGTTTATATCTATTTATTTTGTTTTGTTTTGTATATTTAATCTTGTACCAAGTTTGTGATANCCAAAATAACCTCTTGCAACGGCCAGTTAATAAACGACTGACGAATGGTGTCTACGAAACTTGATCCGTACCACCCGCCGTTGGTCCCTGTTTCTGTTTTATTGATACCTTTTCAATGTGTTATGGATGTATACACTACAACAAGCATTTTTTTAAACAAATTTGTTGCACCTCCGAAAAAAAACATTAGTCGTATTACAAGCCCACCTCCCCATAACAACCACCTCTCTACAACAGTCACTTTCCATTGCTCTCAAGATGGCCGTTGATGAGAGGTTTAACTGTATATCACTACTTACCGTGCAATAAGGGCCTTCCCACCCGCAAATGGGTCTTCTCCGGTTTTCTTAATGGTTCCATCTCTAACGTTCACAAAGACAGTAAGTAACACGACGTTCTCACCAGTCTGTAGACAAACTTTCTGATACATCTGCAGAAATTCATCCAGTTTGTCCGTGTCTCCCCTTGTGACCGGAAGAACAAGATGTATTCCACGCTGCTCAATGGCAGTTGGCATCTGGATGCTTTCCACCCTGGTGTACGGTCTCAGAAGATGAACGCGTCTGAAGGAAAATATTTAAAGGAGCTCAGTTCCTGATATATTGCGTATTCCTGTTTCATTAGTCTCTATTAATCTTTACTGATATTTTGATGGTTTATATCTATTTATTTTGTTTTGTTTTGTATATTTAATCTTGTACCAAGTTTGTGATA